CAGTTCTTATTCTTATGGTTTGGCTGAATAGATTATCCAGAAAGTCATGTATATAACTGCTAAGCTTATGAGTACTCATCAGAGTGATTGGGATGATAAACTACTACATCTCGTAATGTCAACAAGGGCTTATAATAAAGCTGTAGTCGAGTGTCTAAACTTGTTTGGACATGAACTGTTCCCTGTGGGTTCATAAGTGATCTATCTCCCACTGTAGAAGTGCCATAATATAAAAAGAAAGATGTTATATAAGACAGTAAAGGAATAAATGATTAAGCATGGAGACTGACTATGGCTTTGGCACACAGTGACAGCAAGTAAGCAAATGGCTGGATTGGCCTTTATCTCTTCCTTAAATAGCTCATTTTATTAAACTATATGCTGTTGAGTCGTGTATTACAAAAAAGCATGTTGAACATGTTGAAAAGCTAAAGTTGAGTCTGACAAACTTCTTGTGCTCTGATCTCACTATGACTGGAGAGGACAATGAAAATACTGTAATGCGTGATCTTGGTGATAAAAACAGAGATACTGTAAACATGCAAATGACCAAAATGAAAGTGAGTCAACTGTAAAACATTTAAGCTGCTCAGGAAATCTGCCATGGCAACAAAATCTCTTTAAAAATTAGTGTACCTAGACTAAAATATCTTTATAGTGCAGATTGTTACTGCAACTATGACAGCTGCTCTTATTAGATGTAATCCTAGAATACTGACAGTTGGTGTGACTGTTAATGACCACTAGGCATTTTGACAAACCAAAGGCTGAATGTTTAAGTAGGGCTTTGTGATGATTAGTGTAGAGAGGAATTTATGTTCTAACACAGCATAGGAAGTCACATGAACTGGCATGAATAAAACTGAAATGTTTTGTGTTCTGCTATATTTGATCTGATTTTTTGTTGTTAACCAATTGCATCTGGGCCTGGCTCTTTAGCACACATCACGACTTTCTACAGTGTTAAATTCAACAAGATTTAAACGCATTTATTATCAATGTATGTCATTAAACTTGGCATAAAAATGTAGTATATAATTAATGTTTATATCCTGTCTAAAGTATAATTTCTTAATTCAAAAAATATTTGAAAAATTTTCAATCTTTATTTTTCTGTCATGTGACCCATCTGAACTCTTAATTTCTTCCTTTCAGAATTTTCTATCATCAAAAATAAGCTGTTGGAGTTTCTAACCATTTAGAAACACAAACTATACATAACTAGAAGCAAGAATACAAAATTTGAATCTACCTTCTTGATTTACTGAAGTATTAATAAATTTGCCAAACACACCCGAAAAGCCTCTTCCTCTCTCCTTCTGACTTTCACGTGTTTTGCTAATCAATTTTATAAGGCTGATGAACAAGTTTATAACCAATGGAAAGAGCATATTCTCCTCTACATAACATTAATTATAACTTTGATTTTGGTGCCCGTAGAATAACAGTCTGTCATACTGTCTTTGTCTGAAAATATCATAATCTTGCTCTGAACATCTAACAGAATTTTTTAACCTATTTGTAACTTACTGGGAAAGCCAAATAAATTACAGTAATTTTGGGATGCTCTATTTTGTTGACTGATATATATTCTGTGTTCTCAAATGTATATTTGAAAGTACCACAAATTCTTGTACACCCAAATTTGTTAAACTCATTGAGACTTACAGAAAAACGTCTATTCAAGTGCAAATTGAATTCAATGTACGAACTTCTCAGCTTAGCAAAATAAAATACAGTATTCCCTCGCTATTCGCGGGCATTTGAATGGCATTGTAGGGTGTAAATAATATTGTAAAAATAAACACTTGAATTTACAGCCCAAACAACCACGTTGAAAACTCACGTGCGAATAAGAGAGAGAGAGAAACAGCTGATCAGCAGCACGCGTATGCAGCCAATCAGCAAGAAGGAGAAACTAAAGCTGTCAGCCATTGGCTAAATTCAAACCTATTTCCTAGCCTCCTCGGGACCGAGCGCTGTGTGTGTGTGTGTGTGTGTGTGTGTAGTGTCGTTATCGGCTGTGCTTTGCCGTTTGCGTTGTGGGAGAGTAAATACAGACATACCCTCGAAAAGC